TTGGCAGTTCTTAGTACCTATATAATATTTACATGAATAAAAAACGAAATATCATCCACATATGCTGCGTTTGAATATCCACATCGGATGCATCTGAGATGTAGTAAATCTTTGATCACGTGATTCAGTATACGTAAATGTAGTGGGACAAATGTGTCCGATATAGATAAACAAACGCTCGAGATGTAAAAAATGCATCGGCAATTGTATAGTAAGATTAACGCTGTCTAAGTTTATTTTTGGTCCAACATTCCAAATAGATATATGTTTCATAAATTATATCAGAAATTGCATAAAAATTAACCCAATACTTGGGATATCATCATAAAGGCAAGACTTCCCTAATCTGTGGGAGACATATGTTTTATATCGGCTGCTTATGTGACATGAAATGTCAGATGCACATAACCTCTATATAATAAATATACACAGTGAAATATGTCTGAACTTTCATCGCCAACTTCCATTTAAAAAAGTATCATCAACATGCATACATTTTGCACTCGTTTGACTACAGCTGCTGTTTTAGATGGAGTCCTTAAATTTCAGCCGATTTTCAGAATAAACCTTCAGCTGAATCACTTCATTATTTTTCTTTCCAGTTAACATAAATAATTGTTTTTGAAAATAAACGATAATGACCTGCTTATGACTTTTATTTTTGTTTCCCTAATAAATGTACATTAATATTATTTTTAAATTTATCTTCTTTTTATTTGTAATGACATGCTTTTAATTTGAATTATTATTCTTGGTAATCATTAATTTATCACATTTGCCTACGGTTATTCATTCAAAAATTGGTTGAATAATGTTAAATATGTATAAAAAAAATACCTATTTTTAAAAGATATGAAGCTACAATATAATTTAAAAAAAAATAATGTATGATAATGTTTTAGCTAATGAAAATTTATTTTTTCGACGACCAATACACAAAATATTCCGTATTGTTTTTAAACGTCAAAGGAGTCGATTCCGTACACATCCATAAATAATGCGGAAATAATATTTCTCGCGGTCATTCTACAATGTTTAGTGTATTGAATAAACTCTGTAAAACCTTTAGTACGAATAAATAAACACTATCTTAAGAACCCATTTAATTAAAGATTGAAATAATTGATCATTTGCAAAAAATATATATTCGTTAAATGATCAAATTACATGCTTTCAATTCTTGACATAACTTTCTTTAAGAATATTGAAAATTATTGACTAAAAAAGTGGAGAACTTATGAAATAAGTCAATTAAAAGTTTATATTAAAAAAAAAAGTTTATTTTATCAAATTATTATAATTGATTTGTATTTTATTCATTGTGGTTGTAGCAAAAGTATAATACATAATTTTCTTTAAGAATATTGAAAATTATTGACTAAAAAAGGGGAAAACTTATGAAATAAGTCAATTAGAAGTTTATATTAGAAAAAAAGTTTAGTTTATCAAATTATTATAATTGATTTGTTTTTAATTCATTGTGATTGTAGAAAAAGTATATTGCAGAGTACTCGTACAGAAAATCTATTCCATACTAGTGCGATTGTGACACAATCACGTTCGGTCGTGTCTCAAAAGTTTCACACATCTTGTGAAATAGCTTACTTTACTGCACTTGTTAAACAATGTACTATTACAATTTTATTTTACTTAGGTTTATAAGTCAACCTGTCCTTTGATATAAACTTTCAGTAATAATGTATATTATTGATTTTAAAATCCAAAAAGGTTTTTATTATTTGTTTTCTTTTCGCAACTGGTGACAGTGATTTTTTTTCTCTAAATTTGATATATAAAGTGACATTTTGTGTAATCGCAGCAAGTGTCAAAATGATCTACTCAACCAGTTGCATTATGTTGATTATGAAACTAGTTTCGAAAAATCCATTATGTCACTAGTTGCGAAAAGAAAACAAAAATAAACCCTTTCTGGTTTTAAAATAAATATAATATACATTATTATTGAAAGTTTATGTCAAAGAAGGACAGGTTGACTTATAAAAATTGAATTTGGTTAAACTTACAACCTAGTAATAATGTTGTTTTGGTCATTATCTTCCATTCTAAATCAACACAAAATAACCCACTTTTATGAATTTAAATAACTAATGAGCCGACAAGTCGTTAAGAATAAATTTACCATTATGTTATTCTATTTGCAAATTTCTACAACGTCAGCCACTAATAGTTACAACGTAATTAGAGGCAAATAAATTCCATGCTAAAATAAGACTTATTGCAAACCTGAAGTTTTGACATTAAGAGTCCTTATACATATTTCTAACCTCATTTTAAATTACAGTTCACCTATTTTGTCTATAATAGTACATAATATGGAAGAGGCATTAGAATTTACCATTTTAGAAGGTTTAAATGACTGATGTTTAATATTAAAAAACTGATACGAATGTCGGCCAGCGCACCCGAAAGCTATAATGTCGCCAGTATCTGCTTAAAACGCCTAGCCGGAGCACGACCGGAAAGCGCGATTGGCTGTGTCCAAGCCATTGGTGTTTATGCCGGTCGGCGTAGCCAGGTATGAATTAAAATTTTCTGGTGGCGGCGAAGCCGCCACCCTACGTGCAACCGTTGCTTCATCTTGGTGTCACGACATTATTATTTGTTCATGTATGTGAAACTTGCTTCTAAGGTTTATAAAATAAATAAATGTAATAAGCTTAACCTCGAATTTCGATCAGTACCAACAATAATATTAGATTTAATTTGACCAATGGGGTCGTCCGGCCGTGCTCCGACTAGGCCCTTGTGTATCTGCCACAATTAAGGACAGGTACAATCTTTAATAAAATCAGTTCTAGAATGTAAACAATCTGCGCATGCTCAGATGTTAAAATAAGAGCGGCGCGGGGGGTGGGTGGCTCAGTGGTAGAGTCTCTGCCTACGGATCCAAGGGTCCCAGGTTCGAATCCCACCGTTGGCCGGGATTTTTTTATTTCATTGTTTTAAAATTAATTCTGATGCCTTGGTAGGATTCCCCACTCGACCATTCACTGTTGGGTTCTAATTAACAGTGCTGTTCCTAAAGTGGCGCTGGGAAACAGTAACAAAGCCTACACAGAACACGATGCTAATAACCGTAGTAGTTGATGCCGATGACACCAAATTAAAAAAGAAGAGCGGCGCTAATAGTGACTGACCATAAGTGAACTTGCAATAACTCTAATTAGGAAATATTTAACTATTTTTGTGTTATCACTTTTATCAAATCAGATTCCGACACGAAAATAAGGAAATACCTTATTTCTTTAAAACATTTATTGAAAAACTTATTGGAAACTTTTGCATTATAGCCGTAGAAAAACATTTTCTTACCGAATAGTACTGTAACTTCGATAAGCCGTAACCGATTATTACATGCTAAAGTTCAATGAAAAGAGCATTCAAAGTACATTTTAAAATTTTTTGTGATACAGCTTTAAGCTGCTATGCGGGTGGGCGTCTACACCTTCCTGGATTTGTGATTATTTCGCCATATAAGACTGGCTCCCCCTGGAAATTTTTTGAACGGCGCCCATGCCGGTTAGCGCTCTTAATGAACCGCACTGTATAACAAAAATGAGATTAAACAACCACATTGATTACCTATATATTTTTAAATAAGGCATAATTAGTTAATATATTGCCAAGTAGCTTAAGTTGATGTTCATAATCCAATTTACCATGTATACTCTTTCCAAAATCAATACAACATAGCGTTTGTACCGGAGGCGCGTAATAATTTACGTTATAAGCGCTAAGAATACTATATCGTCACATTGCAAATAAGCGTGAAAGATATTGTATACTCCCCTTTTAAAACACAGGAGCTGCTAGACAACGTGGACTTCATTGACGTGTGTTACAAGCCCACCATCTTCTTTGTCTACCAATGAAAACATCGCAATCGCGTGTTCGAAATGTTTTTATAATTTATGGCACGCGGTAAAGACCGGTCTTCGGACCCTTCGGTTATTATATCGTTATTCAGTAGCGTGCACGGTCTGAAACCTTTCTCAAACATTTGTTATATAAACTTTTCTTGTTTTTATTTTAAGGTGTTTCTGTTAAATTTTGATTTGTGTTGTACGAAATGGCTTTCTGGAGGCCATTTGGAGGTAAATGTAGATGCTAATGAATTGCAGGTTAATGATGATATTCACATTAATAATGATGAAGTACAAATTAATGATGAAATACGTGTATTAATAATGCAATTCAAAGTATCAGAGATGCGCACGATGTATCGATGTTTAAAAAACATCGATTTTTCGATTATCGATGTTTTTTTATCCGATGTTATTAGTCAACATCGAGTTTTTTTTTATCCGATGTTATTTGTTAATATCGATTTCAATTAACATCGATGATTTTCAATGTTTTTCTTATTAAGGCGTCACATTTTAAATGATGGTTTCAAGTTATTTTTTTGCTCTTCAATGAACGTTTTTGGAAAACATCGATGTTTACAGACACATCGATGTATGTAAAAAACAAACATCGATATTTAGAAAAATCAATATTTTCTTTTGCGATTTTTTTACAACATCGATAGTCTGTATTTGATGTCAACCTCGATGTTTTAAAAGATTTACGCGTCCCTAGTATCTATCATAGATAAAGAACTTTTCTGAGTAAATTTTAAAATTATCGGAACTTTGATCATCCTTTATTCGGTGCAGTAACCAGGACAGGGATTCTGTACGTAGGGGTACGTTTTCAACACATAACGAATCAAATAGAGAGCCGTTACATACAAATCGCCTTCTGTGGAACGAAGATAGTCGTCTCAACACATGTCGAATTGAGAGATGAGAATCCCAGTGCAGGTATATTTTCTTTACCTCCCTTCGTGTTATTTAGCCACTACATAACCACACTCTGTTCTGTCAAAAATGTCAGCTTTCTGTTGTTTTGTGATGTGTCAGCTGTGTTGTCTAGAGAAGAAAGACAATAATAAACATCTTCAACAATAAAACATGATTTTAACAATATAAATTAAAATGCCACAAGCTGATCGTTATCCGTCATGGGTAAGTATTGTTTTGTTATACAGTAAATTGCATTAATTGTATGTTTCCATTTATTAATAGTTTTGTCTAGTTACCATAAATAAACAAAAATATGAAGAAGTTACATTTCATAATCAAGTTACCTATATAATTTATAAACCTAAATAATAAAAATATCTATACTAGATGGATAATGCCTTTTTGTTGTATTCGCTAAATGTTCAAGGTTTATTGCTGCTATGCACTAAAATAATTGGTAATAAAATATAATAGGTATTGATAAAAATATGTATTCGTGTTTCAAAATAAAATATATTGTTGATATTTGGTAATGGACAGGTACTAAAATGTTATTTTTTAAGGGGAACAATGTAGATTATGTTTTTTTAGATTTAATAGGAAGTAAATATAAGATTTGATAGAGCATTCACAATAAGTTAATAACCAGTCTTAAACTGATTTCTTCAAAAATTCCAATACATGGTATTGGAATGCAGGTAGCGATATAGTGTTTTTAGTACTCCAATGGGGTTTCAATTGTTTTTAGTAACTTAGTATACTTAGAAGTGCGTTTAGAAACCTCACATAGCACATCTAGACTTTATTCTAATGTATGTGGTCAGACGTGTTGTGCGAGGTTTCTAAACGCACTCCAGGTGTATTAACTGTCAAGAAGTTACCTAAATATGTTATTAATATTAAGAAAATTCAAAATTTAGTTGTAATTTTTAGGTTTCTGCCAATATACCTATCGAATTATGGAAAACATTATATTTAATAATTAAGTAAAATATATACATCATTGATAATTCTTTCATTCTTCCATATTCATGAGTTTATTGTGTACTATTTTTAAACAAGTTGGCTGCACTTATTTCCACCTTTTCCCCAGAATAGCAGCTGCAATATGACTTGCCCCAATGATTTTTCAGTCCACTATTTTCTGCAATTGCAAGAAAAATTGCCACAGCTTATTGAAAGGATGTTAGTCCATAGGCGTGCAATATGAATTGCCATAATTTTACTTGCAGGGTAGGAAAATTTCAAACTGTACAGTGGCCCTGAGTCATTTTACAGTTCACAATTTTCCTTGCTGCATGTTAAATTGCGACAATTCCTGTTGAGGCAAGGTAAATTGCTGCATTAGGTTCACTTTAAAAGTCACAATTTTTCTTACTGTAAATTGGTATTATTTTTTTCATGATTTTCATTAGTTGCTTCAGAAATTAATTGATAAGTTTTTTCAGATCATTTTTGTTTTGGTTTATTTTATTGTTATAATAGCCATTTTTAGTTTTTGATATTAGTTTGTTTAAATTATTTCTAAATGTTTTATAGTGAGTTTGTTTGTTAATAGGATAGTTTTTTTGTAGATCTTTTTTAAGTTTATCCCTAGTTTTAATAGAATTAATTAAACCATTTTTATCCATGGCTTTATTTTTTTATGGATTTTAATTTTAATATTTTGAGTGGTTTTACATGTTTCAATGATATTAAGATAAAACAGTTGTGTTGCAATTTCTGGATTATTTTCATTGCAAACACTTTCCCAGTTTACAGTTTCCAATTTTTGTTTTAATTTATCAGTATCGATTTTAGTTATAGTTTTATATGTATTGTAGGAACTGGTGTAGTTTTTGGCAGATTGTGAGATATTTATAGGGTTGCCACATTTCCGGAAGTGAAAAGCGTTGCGATAGAGCATTTTTATATAATCAGGTCCAAATTTTGTGACCATTTCTAAAAAAAAAAAGGTTCTCGACTCATTTTTCGTAAAACGAGTAGGTAGAGCATTCTTATATAATCAGATCCATTTTTTCTGAACAGTTAAAAAAAAAACAAAGGTCCTCAACTTATTTTTTATATAATCAGGTCCATTTTTTGTGACCATTTCTAAAAAAAAAGTCCACTTATTTTTCGTACAAACGAGGGTCTTTTACCCGGTCTACTTTTGTATAAATTCGATTCCTCTGCGGCTTTTAAAAAGCGTGGAATTTGCATAAAAAGCGTGCAGGCAAGTCAAAAAGCGTGGCTGCCATGCTAGAAGCGTGACGTCTGGCAACCCTAGATATTTATCATAATAGGATCATGATCAATCATATCATAGCTGATTACATAAGAGTTCATCGATAGATTTTCAGTCTTAATATTGTTTTTTAAGAATATATGATCCAAGCATGTCTTGTGGCCTCGTAATAATGTTTATGTAAGACATGAAACCATGGGAGTAAAAAGTTGCTTGGTAATCAGTAGTTACTTGATTGGTCACATTTAGGAGATCAATATTAATGTCCCCTATGAATATTTCAATATTTCTATTTACATGAAATTTTCTAAATCCCTTATAAATGCTTGTGCAGAGGTTTGAGGAGACCTGTATACACCTGTAATGCCAATGGTCCGATGATTGACTTTTAGATTTATTTTAGTGACACAAATATCAAAATATTCCAGTTTAACTTTATTTAATTCTGCATTTAGATTTGACCTGACCAAAATTACAACACCATCATTTCTGTTAATGTTACCATGGTTATAGTGGGTGGTGAAGCCATCTAGGTTAAATTGAGAAATATATTCTAATTGGAAACATTCAGTCAAAACTATTATATCACAATAATTAATTTTATAACTTTCTAGAAATACTAACAACTCATCAAAATTCTTTTTAATACTCCTAATATTGAAATGTAAGACATTTAGGAGTTTTTCATTTAAATTAATTGTATTTGTTATATTAGCAGCATCAACGACTTCGTTAATCGAATCAATTTGAATGTGTGTACAAATATTAGTTACGTTATGTTATTGATCTGTATACTCGGTTTTATTTTGCAATACCATTTGATGATATTTCAAAGAGAAACAAGTCAAATTCAATACAGAATGGTTGTAGTCGTACTCAGTTTTATATTTTTCGTTAGAAGTTTTACAGTTCTTACAGTGTTAAATTAATAACTTTTATCAAATCACTTTGTTGAAAAGACTCAAAAATAAGAATAGTAAAAAAGATCACAAGGATTTCCCTGTTATCCACACAGTCAATTGTCCGCAACTGGTCAAATTCGGACAAAATATCTAAAATAATCAAAGATATTTTATTTGAGTTGTATCATCTTACATATGAATATTATAGCATTCTCTAATTGCAAGCACTGGCACGGAGATCTGTATCTGAAACGTGTGTACGGTGGGTTACCTTACTAGGCTAATTGTGCATCCTCCTAAATAGATAGGCACCTCCTAACTCGTGAGCCAGTCTTTTATGTAGTTGACAACGTCGTCAAGAGGTGCTTCTCATGTATCAGCTGGTGTTAGTCGATACTCGCTGAACACAATTTTTCTAATGAGGGGGTCGGACAATCGTAGAGAATATTCTCGATGGTCTTATCTTCTTGTTTGCGCATCCTGCAGACTGAGGATTCTGACAGCCCCACAATATGGAGATGCTTCGGTACTTGGCAATGGCCAGTCAGAATGCCTATGATCATGTGCAGATTATGTCCAGTCATAGTCAAGTATTTGTTTGCTGTAGTATTTTTCAGGAGAACTTAAAAGTTCCGTGGCAACTCTGCAGTTTCTTGTTTTATCCCATCTTTCTTTGAATTTCACAAGGGAATGTTTTTAATTAGGTCTGTCACTACCGATGTTGTTATCCAATAAAGGGACCAGGAACAAAAAGTATTTGGTTGGCTGCCTTCTTTGCTAGTGAATCAGCAAGACGGTTACTTTTTGATATGGCTTCAACTTTACTCCATCTTAAAGTGACCGCATTGTTGATGGATACTTCGGTCATAGCATCGTGACGTATTCCACATCCTGAGCCGTGTTTTGTTTTAGAACAATCAGTGTTGATATGAATCGTTCCTGCCACTTACAGCTCTTCTATTTGTTCTGTTATAACTTTGAAAGATATATCTTGGTGATATGAAGTCCATGTTCACTTGAAGAAGCAGTGGGACCGTATCGAGCGCCTCCTGCCAGATGCTACATCAGGTTCTATTTCCTGACACGGAGTTATTGAGCACTCGGTGGATCTTTAGTCTGCGTTCACATTGCATTTGTTCCGATCAAATGTCAACCTATTGTCGCTCTGCACGCACACTGTTCATAAATCTCACTTGCTCGATGCTAGTGCAATTTTGCTAGCTTAGTATTACCTGGTGACCAAATATGAACTGTGGATTGGTGAATTTCATATTCGTTCAGTAGAACATGATGGCCTATTTTTTCATTATGTAGTCTGTGTGTAGAATATTAGATAATATCCATATGGACGTAGAAAAAAATTCTGTCCTAAGAGTTTTAGCTTTAAAAGCCAACATAAATATTTTAATTTTAATATTTTTGATGAAAATAAACCAGTAGGCAATTTATTATTTTTGTAACTATAATGAGAATATTTTTAGGTGGGATTAGTTTACATTTTCAACCTCATCGTTGGAACCGGTGCATTAACCCTCCCTGCGGCCTTTGCCGGGGCGGGTTGGTTATTCAGCACCTTCATGATGATGTTTCTAGCATTTATCAGTTTTGTAACTGTCACATTTGTGATAGAGAGCATGGCATGTGCTAATGCGACTTTAACAAGAAATAGGATCCAGTCAGATGAGTTATATGTACGTTTTTATTATTAATTTGTTTAATTGTGAGATATTTATTTCAAAAAGCAATTTTTTTTTCTAGGAGAACCGAATAGAAGCACTGTCAGATTCAGAACCTGAACCTGACCATAGTAACGAAGAGACTGCAATTCTAAGAGTACCACGGAGATATTCTTTGTACAAGTTAGACACAAAAGTAGAGTTAAGTGAAATAGCCGCTCTATATTTAAACAAATTTGGGCATACTTTATTTTTCTCTTCTCTTTGTATATACCTCTACGGAGATCTAGCAATATATACTGCAGCTTCTGGAAAAACGTTGGTCAATTTAATATGCAACAACGGCAATGAAACCGAAGATTATAGTACAACTTGTTTTCAAAATTCTTCCTTTACTAAAATAGATATGTATAGAATGTTTGTCACCACTTTTGCTTTATTAGTGGGCCCTTTTGCCTACTTTAACGTACAAAAAACTAAGTATTTACAGTTGTTTACTATATGTATAAGATGGCTCGCTTTTTTTATTATGGTAACTTTAGCTAGCATTAGGCTGGCTAAACTTGGACCACAAGGTCATCCTGATTTAATAGACTTAAAAGAAGTACCTGCCTTAGCAGGTAGTACTGTGTATAGCTTTATGTGTCATCATTCTCTTCCTAGTTTGATGTCTCCTATTTCTGACAAAGATAAAATCGTAAAGAAAGTTAGTTACGATTTTTTTGCTATATTTTCGTTTTATTTATTATTAGCTTTAACAGGTTCCTTTGCATTTGCAACTTTAAAAGATTTGTACTCTCTTAATTTTATATACAGTAATGATTCTAATTTTATAACGAAAATAATTGGTTTCTTCTTAGTATCATTTCCTCTGTTCCCAATGTCAACAAGTTTTCCAATCATAGCTATTACTCTACAAAGTAATCTGAAGAATCTTATGTTGGATTCTACGACTCATAGATCTAATGTAGGTATAAACCGTTTGGTGTTTCCGACTCTAGCTGTGGCGCCGCCTGTTATTGTGGCTTTATGTACGCACAATATTAAGTACCTCGTTGAAATTACTGGTACTTACGCTGGTGTTATCGTACAGTACGTTGTACCGACGATACTCGTCAATTACGCCAGAAAACAATGTCTCAAAGATTTTGGTTCGTGTTCACATCAATTCTCCAGCCCATTTAGGCACCGATTTTGGTACATATTCGTGATTTCTTGGTCAATTATTTGTGTAATATTTGTAACTGTCGATTTTGCTATAAACAGATGAATATAAAGGTATTTTTTAAATTATTATTCTTATACAGTGTGTTACAGTTTTGAGATTGTTGTATATTTTTGTATTTAACTGTTTAAAAAAAATTATTTTAGAGAGAAAAATCGGTTTAAAGTTAGTAACTATCGGGTATTGATCCGAAAACAAAGGTATGAAAAATACATTATTTTTCAAAATGACCCCTTCCAAATAATGAAAACTATTCCCCCAAAGAAAACACAAAAATATTTAAAAAATATTTCTCGTACTGAGATTCGGACGCACCTATTTGTGTTCTACGCACACTGCCTTAACCATTCGGCTATCGGGATATTAAATGTCTGATTTCCAAATTGTTTATTTGAATACAAATTTCGAATCTAAACTTGGTGACCGAAAATTCACAATTTTTCAACAAACTGTACTAGTCAGCATCGTCATGGGACACATACTAAATGCATGTAGACACTTCCCTATATTATCGGTGTGTATTAAGTTTTCATTATATGTTACAATGTAGGCATATATAGAGAGAAAAATCGATTTAAAGTTCTCTCATTTTTCAAAATTCATTTTGTATGATTTTCTAATGCGATTGTCTTGTAAATGAGTTTGACAAAAAAAATTAGAGAACTTCTTCCGTAAAAAAATTCGATATTGCCTCTTTTTTTTACAAATTGACAGACTTAAATATAAAAATATATCGAACATCTTCTGTATTTATAACATAAATAATTAAAATATTTTTATAAAAAATGCGACACATTGTATATTTCCCAACAAACATTAAAGTCGTTGGCCCTTTAATGAATGTGACGTTATGGCCCTTTTGAAATATGTAATTAATTGCCCTTTGACTGTAATTATTCGATTGTCTGTTGATGGCTTTTTAACTGTTTGCAAATGTAAAATCGTTATTGCTGTTTGAATTTGTAATTAACTGCCCTTTAACTTTGATCTGGCGTTGGACCCTTATTGGATTTTTATATTTCGCACATGCAACTGTAAAATCGTTATAGCCCCAATGACTGTCACTTGAAATTTTGCATGCAAGCTTTTCTTATGCCGTGATAGTCCGTGTTGGTACAAAATCGCCAATTTCAAAATCACGATAAGAGAACGAAAATGACTGCCTTCAAAAATTACGAACGGCCTATGAATCTTTGCAAGTAGTTTTTGATTTTTATGTTCTGAAGTTGTTGCAGATATTTAAATAAACCTACTAAAAAAGTGAAGATCGTATTTTTACGTACCATCTCACTGATATAATCGTACATCGTACAAAAAGTTAAAAAATCGTATAAATACGATTTAAATCATACGGTTGACAACACTGAGACAAACAGTAGACGTGGACAGTTCGTAAATATAAATGTCAGTTTTATGTATATCGAAGAATCGTGATTTTAAATTATAAATTGTGAATTCATGATTGTGTTATCTTCTAGATGAACTAAGCGAACGGGTTGTGGCTGCTTTTGTGTGAAATTTTAGGACAATATATTTTGTAATACTACAATAAGTCGGAAACGTATTGCATTAGTAACACATGTCACATGAATAAATTTAACAATCCCAATGTGGCGTTCTTTAATTGACCAAAGTAAGATCTTGTCATGTAAGTAACACAAATAGTAACCAACTTTTGTCACAAAGTAGATAATTATGTATTATTTATTGTTTTGGAACAAGAAAATGGTTTCAAAACGTTAGAAAGAAGATATGATATAGGAAGAAAAATATCTGAATTCCTATTATTGAGTTTGCACTCATTTTTAAATGAGACAATTGGCCATTCGTTTGGAAAATAAAAACAAAAGGGTAATGTTACAAATAATCAAAATTAAAAAATATTTGTCATGAATAGATTTAAATAATTAATCGATAATAGACCTAAGTATAGTATTCTTTTTAATAAATAATTTAGCATAATTACATTGTATACATTTATTTACAAGAACAGTGCAATCGATATTTATACAACCATTATTATGAGGTTTTTAAATTTCCCGTTGCGTTGTTTGATATCGATGAGAGCGCCACATAGGGGGGCCATTCGCACCCTAGTAGTTAAGAAATAAGCGAAGCTTAAAATGACATCAATGGAAAAATGTCATTTTAAGCTTGGCTTATTTCTTAACTACTAGCGGTGCAAATGGCACATAGTGGCTCAGATGTTAACTGCGTTAAAGCTGGTCGTTGTTAAGCATTGGCTTCTTATGAGCGTTTCCTATCTTTATCTCCCTTACCTCTGCTCTGGAGGTTTAATTCCATTTTCATCCTTTTACTTGTAAAAAGGACTATTTCTATCTTCTTGGTATTGATAGACAGTGAATGTTCCTTGCACCACTGTCCAATAATTTTGAGAGCTACTTGCATTCTTTCGCAGAGTGTGTTCTCAAAATTCCCTGTCTTTCTAATGTCTTCATGGAAAACGATGTCAGATGAATTGGTCGGTATGTTTTTGGGACAGTGTAATCCATCCTTCTAGGTTTGGGTATGAAGACTACTTTTACCAACGAGGATGTGAAAATACCCACCTGGTGCGGTGTGAGTTTCTCGAGACCCCACTGAAGTAGGGCCGGAGAGATACCGTCAGGTCCTGACGATTTAAATGGAGAGAATCTAGATATTTCCCATATAATTTTGTTACAAGCCTTTGCAATCCCATTGGAGCGAAGTTAGTTAACATTAATATTATGGGAAACTGCTGGCAATTTGCAGGCCTTTTACTTCTTATTGCTGGTAAAGTGACGATGGCTTTCTGCTTACCAATGCCAGACCCCCCAACGAAAGGCCACTACTTGAAATAATATACACACGTTTAAGCGCCGTTAACTTGTCTTAACAAAATGTTTGTTGGGTTATATCCTTTTTCGTATGGAATAATGAAAACAAAGTTCAAAAATTCTTCCTTTACTAAAACACTAATGTACAAATTACATTGTTACCACATTTCCTCCTTTTTTAATGTACCAAATGCTTATAATTAATTGTATTTAATTTAAAATAATATAAAACGACGGGGATTAATTTTTCTTGAATTGAAATTTGATCTCATAATGTTTCCATAAGCCACATCCACATGGGCCATTTCCGTTGGTTATCTAACGTCAAAACGTACCTGCATATAGATTCGGAAATTGAAACCACGCAAGCAGTGTTGCCAGTGGGCGGAAAATTCCGAGAATTTGAGAAGATTCAGAAAATTTAACAAAGAATATCAATTTTTTTAAAAGAATTCAAATTGTCTATGATATTTTGGCAATTCAAGCGTCTTTAACCAACGTAGGACTCAAATTTCTAAACACGGCTCGGCATTTGACGTTTGACTGGTGACAGAATATTTGCTGCGTTTGAGAATCCACATCGGATGCATTTTTTACATCTCGAACGTTTTTTTATCCACATCGGACACATCTGTCCCATTACATTTACGTATACTGAATCACGTGATCAAAGATTTACTACATCTCAGATGCATCCGATGTGGATTCTCAAACGTGGCAATTAACTTTTATGAGAAGAGAATGCTAGTTATTGAACTAAGCGGAGATGCTCATCTAGTAGTGGAGAATCGAGAAGCTTGTAGCAACACTGCTACAAGCCAAATCAGCGTAAGTGGGAGTGAGCAGAAAATCATATGTACCGTGCGCGAGGCTACGGAAACGGAAATGCGTCGCTCAGTGTTCAGATTTCCGTATCTGTATACCATTTATACTTCTATTTAAACTTAAACACTCCATAATACTGCCTTATGGTAAGGTACATGCAATAACTATGTTCCTACCTATAAACAAAGAAAGTATTCTCAGTTTTAGGTACTAAATTTTTCCAATACGATTCCAAATTGTATTATTTTAAATGTGATTGAAAATATCGTAAGTCTCTAATAAAGTGAGAATGAAGACTTCCCAAAAAAAATATTTGAGTTTTTCTGATATGTACTGAAAATTGTGTTTATTTTTTTAAGGATTTACTACTTAAAATGATCTTCTTAAATGATATTTAAAAATATTTATATTTTTGTACGTTTCACAGTTCCTGTCTAGATCAAAAATTTCAAAGTTTTTATTAATACCATATTTATGATTAATAATAAATGTCACTAATATTTTAAAATACACTCATCAGCAAAAAAGGGTCCCATCTCAATTTTTTCGAAATTAATAATTTTTTAGATTCTTGTGGTTATTCTTAAATTTATATATTGCTGGTGTTACTACCAATTGACATTTCATATGAGTATCATATTATTACCAAATTAAATTTTGAAAAATAGCTAGTCTTTTTCCGATGAGTGTATTTACTCGTTTGCTTATTGTTTTATTTTTCAGCTTAAAACCTTCTGTGCTCTCTGAATTTTAAATGAAAATTATAAGTATAAGCACTATAACTTTAGATATTTTACAACTTTTGCCGACTTATACGCCATTGTGGCATCTCCTGGTTATAAAGTATTTTACCTATAGTGTCAAAACATTTTTATAAATATTCTCAATCATTTTGGTATTAGTTTTGGATCTCTTTATCCTTCATTATTTATATATAGGTAATATTTGTATTTGTGACTGTATATTTTGCTTTAATAAAGATATATTTATTTTTAACAGAAAATTGTCTTTTCCTTTCATTTCTCTCGACCTAACAAAAGAGTATAGGTACGAGTGGCATTTTCGAGAGTAGTTTTTGTTACGAAATCCAGTGTTTATATTGTTCTGATGTTTCATGAACTGTATTAGATGGCAATACTGAAATTTGAAAGGGCTTAATTTTTTTTATAAAATTGTCGCAGCCCCATCTGGAAAATTGTCCCGGGCGGCGGTCATGATCTGGGCACTTTTGTACCTATGCTGAAAGTAATGTTTCGATTTAGGTACTGTCCTCCATTTCACCCAAATTGGAGGCCTTCAAGCTAAAGTGAAAGAGAAGTTTAAACATGCAATTTTCGTTCACTGTATAGCACATAGACTTAATTTGGTTTTATCGCGAAGCATGGATAATATTAAAGATTG